TGCATGTATCTTTTCAAATTAGAGTTCCCTCTGGATGTATACCCAGAAGTGGGATTGCTGGATCATAAGGTAAGTCTATTTTTATTTTTCTGAAGAATCTCCATACTGTTTCCATAATGGCTGCACCAGGCTACATTCCCACCAGCAGTGTAGGAGGCTTCCTTTTTCTCCACACCCTCTCCAGCATTTATCGTTTGTGGACTTTTGAATGATGGCCATTCATTGATGCTTATTTATTACATTATCTTTGCCAGCTGGGGAGTAGCACTGATATGTTTGTGTTAATCTAGCCTCACCCACCTGCATATCCTGTTTATGGATTTGACATGCGTGTCAGTAGCGGGGTGATAGGTATGCTATTGTGAACATGAAGACTGTTTTAATCGACCTCCATAGCTTATCCAGCAGCGGCATTGATAACTACAGGCATTTATTAGGGAATTCGTTTTGTTGCAGATGTGTGGAACACTGAGGACACACACATGTATAAGATGTGGTCTCAACCCACTCATTGTGTAGCTGTAGGAGAGATCTCATGTGAAAACTTATTTTTAAAAATCCAGGGTTCAACCTGGAAATGAGAAACCATCTTGTAAAGTTTTTCCTCATTTTGCAGATGAAGAAACAGAAGAGGACACATGGTGAATGAAAAGCCCAAATTAGTAACAGTAGGTTTGTTGTAGGGTCATGGCTATAAATATTGCCTCTCAGTGCCCAGTCTGTGGTTCATGGTGTGCAGCTCAAGGAGCATGTAGGAAAGCCCACGGGTCATACATGCTACAGGCTTTCTTAGAAAGGCATGATTTCTGATGGGACTGGAAAGGTTTGGTGCTTTAATGCTAAAAGATTATCTCCTGGAATAGTAAGACTAAATAATTGGAAGGAGGAAAAACGGGAGTCCAGGAGGGCCAATGTGAGGAAAGGCAGAGAAATGGAGATGCATGTGATATGATCATTAATCAGGTACTACATCCATGTGACTGCCTTAAGAGTTTTAGATGGAGCAGTGGGAAAAAACATGAAAAGAGGCTCAATTCTAGAGTTGTCGGTAGCAGAGACTCAGAGCTCATCTCTAGGTAATGTGTCTTATACCAGAAGGATGGCTCAGACAGGCACGGTTCTCAATCTTGGCTCCATCAGCAACCAACTGTGAGACTTTAAAGCCCCAGTGCTGAAATATAGCAAAAATGGTACCCGTTACCCGAGCTGGAAATTGTGCTTGGCTGGTAGAAACAGAGCTTTAACATAAGTGACTTAACCAATGAGAAGCCTGGAGCCAGCACTTGAAGACTGACAATTTGGCAGGAAATGTCATCAAGAGCTTGGCTTCTTATATCAGGTACTCATCACCTCGTAGTTACAAGATGGTTTTTGAATTGCTTTCCATTGCTTTCATGTCCTGGGTGAGATGGAGAGGAAGGGGCAAAAATCAAATGCCAGCTGAATTAGCAATGCTCTCCTATCCTTTGGGGAGTTTTTCAGTGATGCTCAACCAAACAACTTTTTTTTGTATCTCATTTGGTGAAACTTAGACATAAGGATGCTGCATCTGCAGGGAGGCTAGCAAGTGTAGTTTTTTCAGCGGGACACATGGCTGCCTCTAATGAAAGCCAGCTTCTAGTAATAAGAATTAAGGGCATATGGATATTAGACATGCAAATAAACATCTCTGTCACACACGACCTTACAGAGCTATTTTGAGGATTAGGGAAAAAATGCAAACTGTTTTAAATTCTCACTGTATGTCGAAGGAAGGGGTAGTTTCGAGGAAAGTTTAGTGAATCTGCTTTTAGATATACTGAGCTTTAGCTGAAGAAGTTGCCAGCATGTGGAGTAGTTTATGAAATGTCAGGGAAAGGATTGAGGCTGGATACTGAGATTTGGAGGTGTCCGTGTAATAAATGGATAAGGCAGAAGCTTTAACTGCTGGTGCCGCGGAAATACGGAAGTGATCTCTCTCGTCGGTCACTCCGACATGCAGTGAAAGAGGACGGGTTCTTTAGGCTGTAATTTACAGAAACTAGAGGGACGCTTGTGAGAGGACACACCGGTGACTGCAGCAGACGCTGCGTTAAAGAGAACTTCGGGTCATGATGAGAGAACCACCACGCCTGTCCTTGCTGTTCAGCCTCTGGCTGGCAACTGTGTGTCTCTGTCCTTAGTCCCTCAGATGCAGAGATACAGAGAGTCTGCTGCGCTGAACTTTGCAGGGCCTGCCTTCTCTCCGGGCTCACTCAGCGCCCCCAGGTTCCAGTTTAGACTGCCCCTCTCACCCTACAGAGCGCCCAGATTTTCCTGACGTTGCTTGTTCTCAGGTGACTTTATATATTAGCTCATGTCCCACACATACACTCTAGCTTTCTGCATGGTCCTGAGGCGCTGGTAGAAAACAGGAACCCCTTTATGCTGGGTGATCGCACGTCCTTGTGATTAAGAAATACAGTGACCGCTGTGATTGTCCTCGACAGCTTGTCTGCTTCTGGTCCTGACCAAGGTTTCCATCTCTTCTCAGGCCAGGACTTCATTCTCTCCCCAACCTGCCCCAGTTCCCTTCATCAGATGTGAGGATAGCAATTTGTTGGTTTCCTCCCAAATACTTATTATGAATTGCTGTCTTTAAAAATATTTTGTTCGTGCACTATACTTCCTGAAATAGAGCTTCATGCAGGTGCTCAAGAATAATTGCTGAATGCATGAGAATGAGTGAACGGGAGACAATGTCAGAGTAATTCTCAAATCACCAATTATATATATAATAATATATTATTATATATATAAATGTTTCTGTAAATCTAAAACTATTCTTGAAAAGTCTATTAATTAAAAAAAACACACAATAAAGCTACATTAAAAAAAAAAAGAAACAAAGAAGTGAGCAGTGGCTTTGACAATATGGACGCCAAGGATGAACTTGACCCAAATGGAGGAAATTTGTTTTTTAAAATAGAAAACACACCTTTTTGATTCACCTAAAGCTGTATAGATGGAAAGGGATCTAAATCCAAGGGAAAAACATTGTTGAGAAGGTCAGCAGATGGAACGTACAGCGTAAGTAGCATGGTTTGATCTGGATCTGAATGAAGACACTTTGCAATAACGCAAGGATGGTAAGCAGAGGGGATGGGGAGAGACAGCAAGATTTCTTTCTCCTCTCACATTGTCATGGAGCGCAGATCCCAGAGGTGGGGGTGAGTATGTTTTGTCCTGCCATTGCCATTTTCAAACTATTTAATTTTCCTTTCCGTTCAAAACTCTCAATTCTTTTGCAGAATGCATCATCAGACTTTACTCAAAAATCTTTCATGCTGCTATCAAGCACCAGACACCCAGTGTTCACCCATGATTTGTTGAGGGTTTTAGTGCCCAGAGTGTTTCTTCCCACCAGCATGATGGCATGATGCTTAGTGGCTGATTCAGCCACACCCACGACCCATCAAACTCGTTAGCCTCTCATTTGCTTGGTCTTCTTGACTTCACTGATCTCTTTGCTACAATTTTGTCAGATTCTTATGAGCCTTGGCTTGTTAACTCTCATAGATTCACTGCTGTTGAAAATCTACTTCAAGCATCTCATCCTGTCTGCTACCTCCCACGCCAGCAATTCTGCATCCTGATAAAGTCCTACCCCCTACTGATGCTGCCAGAATCTTCTCAATGTCAGTCTGCCTTCTCTTACTTCCTCAGTGCTCCCTTACCAGCGTAGAGCCCGTGGGCTTTCATTATCATCGCTGTCTGCCTTACCTCCCTCTCCTTTCACTGTCCAGGACTGGTTTAACCCAACGCTCTGCTTTTTATGTATCTTTGAGCCCATAGATGAGAACAGAGCAAGACACACGGATGGGATGACTGGTTTCACATTACATTGATGGACGTGAATCTCAAGGGAAGTCCACAATGCTTAGCTATTCCACTCTACTCTCTCCAGTGCATATATTTTTGTCTTGTCTGAAAAATGAATTCTCTTCTCAAACCACCTTCTCCTGTCTTAGCTGATAACCTTGTCTCCTGTGCCATCAAGAAAACAGAAGCCGTCAAAAAATAACTTCTAATATTCTCCACATCCAGACACACATTACTGTGCAAAGACATTATTTATTGGTTTATGGTCAGTTTTTTCTAACGTTTTCTTCTATTTTCTCTTTTCATGTTCCTTGGATTTGTAATATAGCAGACTCTGAGGAGATGATGCCATTTCATAATAACTGAACTACTTTGGAAACAAAATTCTTTCTTAAATTAAGTGCATGTTTATCTGTTTGTTCTTTTGTTCATTTGTTTAATTGTTTTTAAATGACCAGTCCTTATTTCACCCAACTAGAAAGACTGTAAGGGGCATTTGCAGGTTGTCATTAATGAGGGAAGGGTGAATTCTGTGTATTTAACCAAAAACAGCAAAATGGAATAAGAATTCAAGGGGAGCAGTAATTTTCACTAATATTTGGATAGGAGATATTTTGCGAAAAGACTTCTACACACCAAAATATTTGTGTAATTTGAGGGGTTCTACTTTGAAACATATCTCTGGAATCCTGGTCAAGACCCCTGAGTGAGAAATTTAAAAAGATTAGTATCAGTCTGGTGTTAAGACAAAAGATGTTACTAAGTATATTTGAAATGGGTCAGATGTCGTATGTTTAGAAGGTCTACATATATTTCATTTCATCATGACCAGGGCTACTCAATCTATTGTAAATGGTTTTTAGGAGCCAACGTAATAATAAAATAAAATCGAAGTTTGTAATGGCATATTCAAGTCCACCGTGAAGATAACTTTATTATGTTCATTTTGTACTGTTGGACAGAAAAGCAAAGAGATTACTGGCAAGTGGGATGTGAATCAACTAGAACACTGGTGAAATTTTAAACTAGGGGTATTTTATGTAAGTATGACGGAGCATGGAGTCAGCAGAATTTGGCAACTGGCTGTGCAATTAATGAAATAGATTTAGCAAATGATAAACATATGAGTTGACTTTTTAATTTTTTTAATATTCATTTAGGTATTCAATTGACAGAAACACAGACTTGGAGAGATACTTCAACATTGATGCCAACAGCGGAGTTATCACAACCGCCAAATCTTTGGATCGAGAGACAAATGCTGTTCATAACATCACAGTCCTCGCAATGGAGAGCCGTAAGTTGTAAGATTTAACATTAAATTAGGTTGGAAGACACTGAGAGTGTAGAAGCGTCCTCTTGAGTTTATAATTTCAACTTGAATTTCATTAGGTGCTTATTTGAATTAAGCAACATTTTGAAAATCCCTGATTTCAAGCTGGGAAATACATTCATATTCACTAACTTTATTTGCTACTCACAAAGCTAATGGCAAGAAGGTACCGCAACATAATGGGCCTGAGTTACCCTCAGAGGGCTTCTTGTTTTGTGATCGTGTCTGCATTTATGCTGACAGAGAACTGGTCATATAGCCTACACAAAATCGTAAACTGGTCTCTAACCAAGACACTCAGTTTTGTAAGTTCTGATATGGAACTAATTTTAGTCTCTGATAAGAAAAGTGTTGAAAGAACAATGCATAATTATATTGTATGCATGTTACATACATTTATCATACAGTAAATAAACATGGAGTATGCACATAATATATACATATATTCATACAAAAATGAGCTGTAGCATCAAAGAATATTGAAATTCATGGCTTACTTGTCACTCGTGTGTGTATGACTTTTGGATCAGAATTTGTTTCTCCCTTTAAAGTCTACAATATTATGATTCTGGATTTTATTTGAGGTTTGGTCATTCCCTTATTAGATTTGTGCTTTCGAGAGGTAAACATTTTTGTTTGATTCTGACTGTTTTCAACGTGGGTTTCCTAAGTAAAGCAGCATTGGTATAACAGCTTCACCCTGAGTACCAGCAGCCCTCGGAGATGCTGCAGGTTCTGGTCCAGCCCCCACGGTAAAGCGAACATCACAGCGAGCCTTGTCACACAGAGGTTTTGGTTTCCCAGTGCACGTAACAGTTACGTTTACACTACATTATAGTCTGTTATATGTGCAGTAGCATCCTGTCTTAAAAAAAAAAAGTTCACACCTTAATTAAAATGCTTATTGCTAAAAATGCTAACCATCATCTGAGCTTTTAGCAAGTTAGAGTAGGAACATCAAAGATCACATATAATAAAGTTCGAAATATTAGGAGAGTTATCCAGATGGGACAGAGAGACAGGAAGTGAGCAGGTGCTCTTGGAGAAATGGGATGACTGACTTGCTGGATGGAGGGTTGCCACAAAGCTTCAGTTGGTAAAATGTGCAGTATTTGTGAAGCACATTCAAGGGATGCACACTAGGAACGAGGTGTGCCTGTAAACAATGAAACGTTTTCCTCTCTGTTAGAGAATCCATCTCAGGTAGGACGAGGCTACGTGGCCATCACGATCCTCGACATCAATGACAACGCCCCCGAGTTCGCCATGGACTACGAGACCACGGTCTGTGAGAATGCCCAGCCCGGCCAGGTGAGCGGCGCCGGGACCCCCAGCTCCTCGGGGCTGACTTCTTTAAACCTCCCCGGCCGCCGTGGCCTTTGCAATCCTGCCAGCTTTCAGGTAAACTGTAATCGGCGTGTTTCAGCAAAATGAACTCTTTGATGTGCAGCGTAAACTAATATTAAAGGAACTTTTAAATTCCAGCTTCAGTGGGATGATGACAATGCCTCGGGAAGAAAAGGTAATAAATGCTGTAAAAGCCGCGGTAAGCGGTTCAGGGCTGAGGCTGTTTCAGGGAGGAAGTGTGCTGAGCTCGACGGGGCTGCTTCCTCCGTGACGCGGTGGCCCTACGTCCCTTGAAGTCCTAACAACTAAGTGGAGTGTGATCTCGATGAGCTTTCTTCTCATCTGTGTTGGCACTGTCTTGTGCTGTTTGCTGGCATGGAACAGTCAGCCGCTTATTTCTGCGGTTCGCAAAAGTAAATTCAAACATGAATTTTGAAAAGGCCATGATGTGATTTTCAGAGCCCTTTTGAGATTGGGTTCACGCTAGGGCACCTGACCCTTCCCTCCCTGCTCATTCAGGAAGATGGATTTATTATGAGGTGGACATTTGCTGTGTAGCAGAGCACATCAACATGCTGCCATGCTGGACTCCCTCTCTCCCCAGGTTATCCAGAAAATCAGTGCTGTTGACAAAGACGAGCCATCCAACGGGCACCAGTTTTATTTCAGCTTAACAACCGACGCAACGAATAACCACAACTTTTCACTGAAAGACAACAAAGGTAAGGTTAACTTGTGTCACCAGCAAGGACATTAATTACAGGGCAGTGAGCCCCTCAGTAATTTTTATCAGTGGATTTGCTGTCATGAAAAAGAAATGGCTCCTTAAGTCATTTTAGGCCTAAATCCAAAGAGAGGGGAAGTCAGATCCATCTCTGTCTTTCCTTCTGGACATTTGCTTCCTTATTTGTGTACCATCCAGGGTCTCGGATCAGTTGAGGGCCAGCCAAATGCCTTCATAAGGATGATACTCCCTACGTGTACCTTCAGGAAAATCATTGGACTTAACACATTTCAACCTAAATCAACTTACTATGTTCAATGCCAGCATCAGTTATTCTTTTATTTTTAATATAAAAATATAATCCATGCAAAATAATCACAGATATGCCCTTGATGCCAAAAAAATATAAAAAGAATAGAATCCCCTGTCATCCCCAATATCCCATGTCTCTGCTTCAAAGGTAAACACTCCTGAATGTCATTATGGAAACATTTTTACAAACACCTGTAGGTAGATTCTGGTTTTGCTTAATTTTATATATGCATATATAGATACTTAGAGACTGTATATAGAGAATTGTAAAAACTTCTAAGGGAAGCTTGAGCACCTGCTGTTTATTATCTTAATTTTGAATATTCTTTTTCTTTCTCTCTGTACACAGAGAGAAGAGTGTTCCCCAACGATACAGAAAATGTAATTCTTCCATTTTGAATGTGTGAATCAGGTTTCAGAAACTTAGTTGTACACTTTGGCTTTGTAAGTCCAATCTGGCTTATCTAAAAAGACTTGCTCTCAGAAGGTGGACATCCTAGTGCTTCTGCCCGAAGCCATCACCTATTTTAGTGCAGAAAATCCAACTTTGGCCTCAGAAATTCAATCTGAAAATAATAAATTGTTCTGATCCCGCTCTCTGCTTAAAGAGAACACTGTCTTTTCCCCTTAGTAACAAAAAAGGAAGTGCAAGCTCTTTGTGGGTAATCCCAAACTCTCTGACTTAAGCATAGCTGGAAAGGGTTAAGTCTCAGCCCTTGCATCCATCCAGCACAAAGGCAGACGGGAATGCATACCAAAGAAGGGTATGAAGATTTCCCACACGTATCATTATCCAGCGCCGCCATGGTGGTTGGACAGCATGGTTGCACTCAAACGCCTGGATTTTCAGGGCATTCACACAGCCACGCAATGGAAACATTTCCCCAAGTCAAGCCCAGAGCTCCCTCGCCTGTAGGAACCTTGGAGGAAAGCCTAAGGTAGAGGAAGAAAGAACACCAATCCATTTGCTGGCTTCCAAGCACATACAGAACATGATGAATTTCCTAATCTCTTTCCGGAACACAGAAATACTGCTATAAATTTAAAAATCACATAAAGCAGACATCGGGCATTTTAGCACATGCTCCTCAATGTGTCATGTGTGTGTGTTATTTGATGTTAGGCATGTTAGATTACAAATCAAAACTTTAAAAAAACCTTTGTGTATCAGATCATAAATAGGGATAGTACCTGAATGGTTGGGAGGTGGAAACGTAGGGGGCGATGTGTTTGTTAATCCCATAGAAACACACTCACGACAGTATCCTTCCACAACTCCCTGTGTACTTTTTTAATGAACACCTCTTGAATTCATTTTAAAATAAAAGGTTTGTTTACATAAAAACCTACCAGCTGGAATCTGAAAATCAAACACTTTTCTTCCTGCCACATCTGTAATCGCAGTGTGCTTGCTGTGGTGTTTGAGAGAGCATGGATTTCAGCTTGGCTCTTTCATTAGTCTTGTTAATTCTTTCATGATGACATTGGATAAATATCTTTTTGACAGCTTGGAAAGGAGTTACATACTTAAGAAAACAAACACTGGATGAAACTGTGGTCCTGGTGGTCCTTCTTTTCTACTGTATTTTCATGAATTGCTATAAATTTAAAGAATCACATAAATTCCATAATTAATTAAGACAAGTTAACTAGACATTATTAGTAGATTAAAAATCTATTTCTGATATAGAAATCAGTTATGTGAAACACTTATTGATCACAGCTAAAAGTTTCATAATTACTATAATTGTTTAAATGGGATGGAATATTGAATATAAATTAAACCCAAATGACCTATTTTATCACTGACAAAATGTTTACATACAGGGTGTTTTGGTAAGGCTGTGTACCAACATGGATCTTAAAAAATTATATAATAATTCCTCTTGAATATCTCTGCATACTCATTTTAATTTAAACTAGAGTTTAGTATTTTACTTGTTTCTATATTGAGCTGGGAACTTGTTAAAGAAAGGATGGGTTGGAAGTTTTACCTATGCTATCTGAGGACTGCAGAAATATTTAATGTATTTTTTATCATCCTCTCTATAAGGATATGGTTTGAATTTCAAGATTAATAAGAAGGTATACTATATGTAATTTTTACAGAGTTGCAGGTAATACAATAAATGATGTATAAACACTTTCCTACTCAGTTTTACTTTATAACTTTCTTTGGTTATAACTGTTAGCACTACGTAAGTGTAATAAGGTGTATTCAAATGAACCAATATTTGGAAATATGGCTTAATGCCAAAAAGAAGCTAAATGGAGTGACTTAAACTAGATACAGTTTGGCAGGACAGATTCCATCAGCAATCTTATGTTGCACATCTGCTTCCTTTATCCTAGACAACACAGCCTCAATTCTCACCAGGAGAAATGGCTTCCGGAGACAGGAGCAGTCTGTGTATTACCTGCCAATCTTCATCGTGGACAGCGGATCACCCTCCCTCAGCAGCACCAACACCCTTACCATCCGTGTCTGCGACTGTGACGCCGACGGGGTAGCCCAGACCTGCAACGCCGAAGCGTACGTCCTCCCCGCTGGCCTCAGTACCGGAGCCTTGATCGCAATACTGGCCTGCGTCCTGACGCTGCTGGGTAGGTACTGCTTCAGCGCCTGCGCTGTGAGCATCGATCAAGACTTTTCTCTTTTCTGTTCCTTTTCATCCCTTTTGAGAACACAGGCCAAATATTCTAATTCCTGGTATTTTGCTTAGAGAGCAGTCTGTGATCAGCAGCCACACTTTCCGGTGGTGTACTTAAAATACAACTCAGGAAAATGATCAGTTTCATTTTTAAAACAGCAGTGAAGGTAAATGGCTGATGTTTAAAATCGAATTTTTTTCAAGATTAAAAAAAAATTTACCTTATCCCCCAGCTGTTTGCTTTAGATTACTCTGCAGGGGAGTTATATTAGACTAGAAAGAATCTTTTTCTGTGTTGTTCTGATAATAGGCATATTTTAGAAATGATGGCCTTGAGTGAAGTCTGTAATATTTAATTTCTTTAAAAAAAGACCTGAAGCAAATATGGTATAATGTTAAGATTTGATAAAGCCAGATGGTAAGACATGAATGTGCTTTATACTAGTTTCTGTTCTTGCCTGTGTGTTTGAAATACATCTTAATAAAAAGACCAATGAATATGGGAGCTTAAAAAAAAAGAAATGGTTTTATATCCCACTTCTTTTCAGAAAAGATTTAAGGTGGATTTGATCATTACCTGCAAATTTTAAGAGATTGAAATTTCAGCAGTGCAAAATTTCCCAAGAATGTACTTTTCCATGATTATTTTATTATGTGGTTAAATTAGATTTATAACTCATAGTAGAACTGCAGTTTTATAAGAGATTATGCAGCATCCTTTTAAAAACTGGGAAGCATCCAATGTTAGTACTAGGTAATGGGTATGTTCCTTAACTGTGTCCTGTGAAAGCACCATGTAACTTCCTACAGCAAGGACAGCAGGCATCTAATACTGTGTCTGGGGCTGTGCTGTTATGTGTTCTTGGGGTTCAGTATAATTTGTAAATCCAGTTATGTTTTGGTAAAAGAATAATTTAGCAATGCGAGTCATAATTGTATGACGTTTAAAAACAAAATTTATGGAATTATGTAAAACCTAGCTTTTATTACTGCCTCCAGCATACACTAGTTCTTCACTAGGGGAGTATTCATTCTTCTAAGGCTAGCTTCCTTTTTTCTTTTTTTTTTTTTTTTAACAGCACACTGTCCCAGTCATGCATATACATACATATATTCATTTTCATATTCTTTTTCATTAAAGGTTATTACAAGATATTGACTAAAGTTCCCTGTGCTATTCAGAAGAAAAATTTTAAATCTGTTTTTTTATATAGTGGTTAACATTTATAAATCTTAGACTCCCAAATTTATCCCTTCCCACCCCCTTTCCCCGGTAACCATAGGATTGTTTACTATGTCCACCAGTCTGTTTCTGTTTTGTACATGAGTTCATTAGTGTCCTCTTTTTTTAGATTCCACATATGAGTGATATCATAGGATATTTTTCTTTCTGGCTTACTTCACTTAGAATGACGATCTCTAGGTCCATCCATGTTACTGCAAATGGCATTTTAATTTTTTTATGGTTGAGTAGTATTCCATTGTATAAATACACCACAACTTCTTTATCCAGTCATCTGTCGGTGGATTGCTTCCATGTCCTCGCTATTGTATATAGTGCTGCTGTGAACATTGGGGTGCATGTGTCTTTTTGAATTAAGAGTTCCCTCCAGATATGTGCCCAGGAATGGGATTGCTGGAACATAAATAAGTCTATTTTTAGTTTTTTGAGGAATCTCCATACCGTTTTCGATAATGGCTGCACCAAAGTACATTCCCACGGACAGTGTAGGAGGGTTTTCTTTTCTCCACAGCCTCTCCAGCATTTATCATTTGTGGACTTTTGAATGATGGCCATTCTGACTGGTGTGAGGTGATACGTCATTGCAGTTTTGATTTGCATTTCTCTGATAATTGGCAATAGTGAGCTTTCTTTCATGCATCTATTGGCCATTTGTATGTCTTCATTGGAGAATTGATTGTTTTAGGTCTTCTGCCCATTCTTGGGTTGGTTTTTTGTTGTTATTAAGTTGTATTAGCTGTTTATGTATTCTGGAAGTTAAACCTTTGTCACTTGTATCATTTGCAAATATTCTACTCCATAGGTTGTCGTTTTGTTTTGCTTATGATTTCCTTTGCTGTGGAAAGCTTATAAGTTTAATTAGGTCCCATTTGTTAATTTTTGTTTTTATTTCTATTGCCTGGGTAGACTGCCCTAGGAGAACACTGCTGAGATTTATGTTGGATAATGTTTTGCCTGTTTTCTTCTGGGAGGTTTATCGTGTCTTGTCTTACTTTTAAGTCTTTGAGTCTGAGAGTCTAAGGCTAGCTTCTTAATTTACAAGGCGAAAGTAATAGAACTAGACTCTTAAGTTTGTTGTGAAAATTAAATGAGAATTCATGTGCTGGCCATTTAGTAAACATTCAATAAATTTTAAGTGTTATTGATAAAAGCAAGTTCTCAATCTGTTAACCAAGCTAAGGCCTACTTACTAATACACTTAACTTCGATTTTTTTATATGAGATCATTTATCGTCTATAACTTCGGCTAACCAAATACATCCAGAAGGGAATAAACTTTTTTTCACATAGCTTCACACAGATGGCCAAAACTTTTAGAAATTCATTAGAGATGGCACATAATTTCAGTGAAAGTCTGATTAGAATCCAAGGGTTTTGAAAAAGATGGAACCATCACAACTACTTACTATTGCTCTGTCATAATAAGCTGTAAATCATGTGTTTATTTTATGGTAGCTGAATAATCCAGATAGGAAGATAAACATTTTCCTTTGTATTTAAAATGACAGTATCTTTAGCTCAAAAGCATAGAATCAGAAAAAGTGAGCACATAGAGAGACGGTGTGTGCGTGACTGTTTTTGAACAGAACTTGACCAGTTTATCACAGGATCGTACCTTATTTCAAAGGAGTAAGATAAAATTGTATTCCCTAGACTTTAATCCTACCCAACAGTTAATTAACTTTTTGACTTTGTTTTAAAAGGTGTCTCTCTAACGAAGCCTGCTTCATTTTTAGAAAATCCTTCCACCTCTGCCTAGGCGTTCTTTGCAGTTTAGGTTCCTTAATGATTCTAGTTACTTAAGAACCATCACCTCTCAGTTACCGAAAGTAAGTGAAATCGACCTTTATTAGACTACGTTCTTGTACATGATCTATATGAGTGTGTGTACATACATACATGCATCTGAAGGTAAATTTATAGGTTTGGGGGATTTGGGTCAAAATTTAGTTAAGTGTGGCTACTCTTTTTGTTTAATTTGAGCATTTTCCTTATATAGACACCAGATTTGAAATTTGATCGTTAGGAGTGAAAGAGGCATTGCTAAGTCCTGTATTTTCTTTGTTTTTGTAAACTTAAAAAATAAGTCAAAACGGAGCCTATAGTACGGAAATAAGTTTGGAACCAGGGCTTCTGGCTAATCATCAGTGTGTTCAGATGTTAACATTTCAGTTCAGAAGTTGATCTCTTTGCCCCTGATTTCCTAAGTCTTTGGAAGCAGATAACCAGGACTGTCTACTCTTTCGGTTCTGTCTCCTCCGTTAGAGGCTCTGAAGCCAGTACTCGGCGGGGTGTGGATGGGGTGCCCCGCCTGGCACGGGACCTTCCAGTGCGCAGATGACTCCTTCTTTACAACACCTCAAGAAGTGGTGTGAATCTTATTTCTAGACACTAGGTATCAGAATTTGTAACTCACTCTTTCTCAGGCTTCTGAACAAATATTGCTAGAAGAAAAGCAAGGTAAAGAGAAAAGGTGAAAAGGGGGAAGAAGAATCTGAGAATCAAGTTCAATGTCTAAATGAAACGGGGGAATCATCTCCCATCCTGCCTCACCAGTCAGCCCCCAAGTACTGTCAGTTTTACGTTGATTCTTGAATCTGTATCTTCCTTTCCCTTGATGTCGCACCTGATTTTGTCCAGGGTCCATCTTTCCCCTCCTAAATTAAGGCAATTTCCCCAGTCTCCATCAGCTCTAATCCAGCAGTACCACACAGAGAGTAAGCTTTTTAAAAGCAAATGTGACGTGCCCCAGCTTAAAATAAGATTTCCACGGCTCCCCATTGTCTCCAAACTATAATTACCTTCCTTCTGTGACCTGACTACTCGCCCCCAGTTCAGTCTTCTCTTTGCACTCCCAGTGTGCTTGCTCCAAGTTGCACAGCTGCTCTTTCTCAGACTCACCCTGGTGTGCTGCACTTCCTCTTCCGTGCCTTGCTCCTTCTGCCTGGAATACCTCTCCCCGGCACCTACAGGGGGAACTCCTTTTTGTATTCAAGACTTGCGTCCTTTGCCTGTGAGTCCAAGGCGGGCGCTAGTCCTACAGGCCCCACAACACCAGTGCAACGTGGCTGGTTTGTTTCATTAGTTTGTCTCCTTGTCTGTCTCGTCCGGTAGACTCCTGCTTCTGGAGGCAGGGGCCGAGCATTATCCACCATTGTATATGTAGCATCTCACAAAACGCTGACCTGACACAGAGATGGCATGTGCTGCATGCCTGGGTGTGCTCGTTAGTAGAAAAGAACGTTTGATTTGGTCACCACCCGTAAGTAGTATTCCCATGTGACCTGGACTTTCCCATTTCGTAACAATCTACAGTTTAAGATCCAGCCTATTTCTGTCATTTCTTTTTTGGAGAATGGATATGACACAGGTTAAGAGCATTTAAATTATATTTTTGGTTTAATAACCCTGGAGTTAGATATGGGCTCAAGAGGAAAATAATATATGATTTTTAGAATCCATCTAGAGAAACATTGCAGTAGAGATTTCAAGGATACTTTATTAAGTTTAACTTCCAGTTAAAAATGCTATTTTGAGATCTAATTTACCTCAATCATACACCTGAATTTTATTAATTACAAATCTTTATCCTTCATGACTATGAATAATAGAGTGGGTTCATAAGTAAAAGTTCAGTTTTTGGCCTTTTGTTACCAGGAATCTGCATACATCTGATTCTGCAGCACACAGGTCCAGACAAAATGATAAGT